CACATCTCTATAGAGAGAGAGACTTATCAGGAGACACATCTCTATAGAGAGAGAGACTTATCAGGAGACACATCTCTATAGAGAGAGAGACTTATCAGGAGACACATCTCTATAGAGAGACTTATCAGGAGACACATCTCTATAGAGAGAGAGAGACTTATCAGGAGACACCGGCATGTAGTTTTATATGATGTGTGGTATTATGAAGAACTGCTGGAAACTTCCGAAAAGCTCTCAACTCTCACTTTTTCGAGAAGTTCAAAAATGGAGCAATAAATTAAAACTGAATAATTCAAAACAGCTTTGAAAGTATGAAGTAAAGGATTTACACACAATTATTTTTTGTCAATGTTAATATATACAAATGTAGATGTATGTATACATCTCATTTTGGGTGATCTTACTTTATTCTAGGAAAAAAAAATACAATAACACAGTAATATACTGTTGTGCGCCATTTCGGAACAACTCCTCAGATGTTTACATTTCAGTGCAAAAAATATAAAACTGTTTCACCATCGTTACAACAAGACCAGTTTTCTCTAGCAGAGAATTTACTTCTACAAGGATGTAACAGAATTTCCACAAGGTTTGTAAGTGGATAATGTTTCAACCGTTTATATTCAAATCAGCAATCTTCAGTTTTTTTTTGCTTCTCTTGTTTATACTCTACCCAATCTGGACTGCAGGTGTTTAAAAACGGTTTAACTGAGTACGTACTGTTTAACTGAATGTGTAACCATATGTACATCTAATAAAAGTGTTCTGTCTAACACTAAAAGAATGATTAATAATAGTAACAGGGTTCCATTATTCCTTTATCAAACATCTTTGGCTAATATTATTTATACCTGACGATTACCATCTTGTCTCAGAGTACAACTATTTGATAATGAGAGAATTAGACTAATTTGAAAGTATTAAAACATTACACTGTACAGTCTCTAGTCTCAGACGATACTCCTACATCTTCAGACTTTCTTTGCTCTTCATCATCATCTCCCATTTGTATCTCTGTATTGTCTGACTGGATACAGGAAGCGTCTCCATCCGCAAATCTGTTAGCAGTGCTTCTATCTTCAGCTGTTATTTCATGCGATTCCCCTTCTTGTACATTTTCTTCACCACGTGACTGCTCCGTTAATAATGTTCCTTCTTCAATCTGATTGGTAGTGCATTTTGCTGCATCTTCCTCCTTATCCGCCGTCACTTGCGAGTTTTCTGTCATACGCATCACTTGAAGTCCTGAAGTTTTCTGTTCTGTTCCTTCACTTTGTCCCAGTGATACATCAACATTCATTGAAGGTTCTTCATTCACCTCGTCAGCTGTTAACTCAGTTCCTTTAGTTGTCTGTTCTGTTCCTTCACTTTGTCCCAGTGATACATCAACATTCATTGAAGGTTCTTCATTCATCTCATCAGCTGTTAACTCAGTTCCTTTAGTTGTCTGTTCTGTTCCTTCACTTTGTCCCAGTGATACATCAACATTCATTGAAGGTTCTTCATTCACATCTTCAGCTGTTAACTCAGTTCCTGTGGTTCTTTGTTCCATCTTTCCATCTACTTCCACTTGGACATCATCATCAGCAGCAGTACAAATTTCTTTGTTCTCCTGATCCATCTTTACCTGTTTGCTGCCAGAACTTGAGTCATCTGCGACTTCCATTTCTTCCTCAACGTTGGATTTCTCTTCTGTAGAATTACTTGGTTTTCCAACATTTGTTTCTACTAGTTCTTTATGTCCGTTTTCATTCTTAGGTGACGTAACTTTTGCATCAAGCTGAGAAATAGCAGCTTGTATTTTATTTACAACGGCTTTTCTTGCTTTTCGGATGTTTTCCTCCCCACCAGTTTCAATATTATCTAACTTTAACATACACCTAGTAAGCATTTCATCTAGATATCGATAATGTTTATCCTTTGCTGTTCCACTGAAGTCCGAAACTTGTTGCTGAAGAGTTTCTAATTCCTTTTGAATGGCTAGGATCTGTTCTAATGGATCTACTGGCCCACTGACTTGAGAGGATGTATGTTGGCTACTGGAATTAGCACCACCATACTGTTGCTCCACAGGAGCCTTTTTTTTTTCTTGGCTACTGATGTTACCTAATCTGTCTACATGTAAATATTCCTTCTTTTTCTTCATGGTACTGGGTGATGAGCCATTAATTTTTGGAAGCTTTGGTTTAAGTTCCTCTGTGTCTGGTTCAATGGTAACTGGAATGTGACGAACATTCTTTGGTTCTACTGTTCTGTCCGTTTGTTTACCAGCCCAGGATGTCTTCCCGATTCCAGCATCATTCTCAGTTAAGTTGTGTTCTCTACGAGCCTGCTTCAGACCAGAAGTTGTTCGAGAATTCCCCCAGTCTTCCGTGTTAAATGATGGATCTTGGCGGATATTTTGAAAGTAATTTCTGTGTTGTGGTTTTGAACCTAACACCAGAGGATCCAGTTCAAACGACACAGGAACATGATGTACTTTTGGTTTTGACTTCTCAGTGCCAGAAGACTGAGTAGATGATGGTTTTTCATGAGTGACTTTAATGGGTATACTTTTCACTCCACCCATGCCAGAACCATGGGAATGCTCAAAATGTGGTGCTACAGTGCCACCTCCACCTTGCCACCAGTCTGGATTGTAACCTTCATTGACCTGAAATTCAATTTTTGAATTCTAAATATTCATGATATTCATTTTTTTTTTTAAATTATTAAGAAACAAAGAGGCTGTAATATAAAATTGGCAATATCAGAATAAATTTATATTTATTGTACATATTCAGAACACGTACCCGTGTCAGAGAACAAACATCAGGTAATCGTGAGTACTAACAGACAAGAGAAAGTTGAGTGATTGGAAATTATCATTAGCAATCAGATATTTGACAACTTTTACCATTCTTTTTAACCAGCCCACTGAAACCGTTTCTCAAGATTAGGGAGTAAACCATTCTGTTTTTATAATAGTATACATTAAAGTTCCTAGCAAGTGAGGCCTAACTAGTGATTTATAGAGAGATAACTACCTCCTTCGACTTGTGAACAGTATTTATAAATACACCCTAGTAACGTTACTACTACCAACACAGCACTAATTCAACGTTACTACTACCAACACAGCACTAATTCAACGGTTGGGGGTGAGTTCACAACCACTATACCAAAGTCCTTGTCCTCTATCACACTATCAATATTAAACCCATGATATTATTACCCTACACTAAATATAAATAGACCATTTTCCAAATATTAAACCGACATAAGTCATTATCAACAAAGATAATATTACTCACAATTTTGATCAGTCATAACTAAAAGCAGACTTTTATATTTTATCAAATATACCTCTGTCAATATCATTAGTGAATATAATAAAAAGCAAAGGTCCAACCACTGACCTTTGAGATAATTTACTAATTACAAGGCACGAAGTCCAGTCGTGTTGTCACTCTACAATCAACTTAACTGTGGTTAACCAACAGTTTGTAACTTTAGAACACAACCACTTTCATAGTTCTAGTACATTAATGTAAAGGACAAGTTAATGTCCTTCATTAAAATTCTCTATGGAAAAGAAAGAGAGAAAAAAAAAACAATTACCAGGTTAAAAGTCTGAAACTATAGTTTGTGAACAACAATTACCAGGTTAAAAAAAACAATTACCAGGTTAAAAGTCTGAAACTGTAGTTTTGTGAACAACAATTACCAGGTTAAAAGTCTGAAACTGTAGTTTTGTGAACAACAATTACCAGGTTAAAAGTCTGAAACTGTAGTTTTGTGAACAACAATTACCAGGTTAAAAGTCTGAAACTGTAGTTTTGTGAACAACAATTACCAGGTTAAAAGTCTGAAACTGTAGTTTTGTGAACAACAATTACCAGGTTAAAAGTCTGAAACTGTAGTTTGTGAACAACAATTACCAGGTTAAAAGTCTGAAACTGTAGTTTGTGAACAACAATTACCAAATTGATAATTTTAAAATATTCATCTCTATTATAACCATCCTTTAAATGTGACATGTGTACAAAAATTAAAAACCCTATAACCCGAGCTCTATCGACTAAGTTTGTAGGGTTTCATACCTCTGTCTTTAATTGATTTTGTTTTGTGACTACACATTTTCCTAACATCAGGAACATATTCAAAATGTACGTGTACAGTGTCTCACCTTTATTTGATGGGAGTGTAAAACCTTCAAGTTTGTATATAAAATATAAAAAACAACATTTAAATTAATGGTCAAAGTCTCCTTACTTTATTAGCACAGTTTTAGAACAGAGAGATTAAATACTTGAACAGCTGAAAGTCATACATATTCACAAAAAGCTGTTGTTCACCTAACTAGTTAAGATGGAATAAAACTAATTTTCTATGCTGGTATAATTATTTTAGCCTCCTGCTATACTGAATGTAAAACTAAACATCTTGACATAAACAAAAATACAAGTGTGTGTGTATGTGTAAAACAATTATTTAACTCTTAAAGCAGTTAATGCTGGAGTTTATAAAATGTAAGACCCAAGGGAAACACTTATAAAACGATTGTTAAGTTCATAGCTGAACACCTGGAAACCACACACACAAAAAATATCAAGTGGTATAATCAATCAACTACAGACCACAGGTGGACAAATTTAAAACCAAAAGCACCTCACTAATAGCCATAATTTTATCTTTTTGCCTTTCCAGCAATTGGATCATATCAGTACAAGTGGTTTCTGGAAGGAATGCAGAGAAAAACTACAGTTATTGGTCTTAATTAGACCACAGTTAAGTATAGCATGTTTCATCAACATATAACTTTTGATTTTTGTGTGTATTTACGTGTAGTTTCTGCTTTTAGGGACATCTCTTTATGCTATAATATTTATACAGTAAGTTTATATGCCTCTATGAACATCAGACAGAAACCCAAAATATTTAAATTTAAGAGCAATAGGAACTAAGAATTGTATATTTAGAAGGCTTGAATCATTACCCATATATTTTTTATCGATTTAATTTTAAGTAGAATCATATTTCTTATGTGAATAAACCAACACTACAAGACTGTTCGCATTCTAAAATAACTTTTACAAGTTAATTTCATTTCCTCAAAGTTCAAGTTCAGAACTTACTTAAACATTAATTACAGGCCTTCAATGCCACAGTAAACAGTAATAAATCTTAATTTAAATCACAGATACTTTCAGAGTTTCAGTAGATTGAGGAATCAGAATTCACCTGCTGTACTTCAGTTATAACTTCTACTTGTTATTGATTAACTGAAACTTGAAAGCTAATGTAGTAGTATTTAAAAATAATGTAAATGAGGCTCTAAAACAGTAAAAGTGAATTCCTGAAACTGAAAGTGTCTGACACTGAATTTAAATTCAATTTTCATGTAAATTTTAATTACTAATTATGAAATTAGTTACTTACCGAGGGTGTAGCACCAAACCAACACGGCCACGCTTCTCCATATCTTAAAGGGTCGGTATTATAAAACATTTTGCTTAAATAATCGTTTTCTTCTATCTCAGAAGTTATAGCAGTATTACCAGACGTATAATCTTTATCAACGGCAAAAGGTTCTTGGAATATCAAAGAGTCCTCGAGCGCAGGTATTTCTCTAGTATTAAACACTAAGCTCCTTCTCATCTTATATAGTATACCATCCACCAATCTGGAACGTTCCGATCTTTCTAGAAATATATTACCATGCTACACGTTCTACGTTAGGACTGCAGTAGAAAGGTAGGGAATTTTCTAGACGGAACGAACGTCATAAGCAGTTCCTCCAATCAAAACGAAATCTTGTAAGAGAATTTTATCTCTGGTGATCATAAAAAAAATTATATATATTTAATTTTCTTTTTTCAAAGAAACTTTATTTGTTTGTTTTTAAGGGTAGATACATATAAAATATGAATTATATTGTTACATGGATATAAAATGCTATAATTATGTACGCATATGTTCATGACAATTCAAAAGTTTACGTTTTTATGAGTTGTTATTGACGCGATAGATTCGACAGCAGTTTGTCTCGTAAGGTTCTATAACTTAATAATTATTTAACATTGAGAAACTGCGTTTTTTAACAAGAGTAAAGTTTATCAATATACTTTCAGTGGTTGCTGACGTTAGGCTTAAGTATAAGCCTGATGGCAGAATTGATTTTGATGTTGAAACTAAAACACTGTATTTAGCAGCCAGGGCATATCATGTAAACTTTACATCAATATCAGTAAGAAGAAAGATAATGCCAATAAATGAAAAAGGTGACTACGATGTTCAAATAAAAAGTAATATCCTAAAAAATTTTGACAACGTTTAGAACCTAGATATCAATGGGTTTTAACTGGCAAGACAAAGTTACAAATGAAAGGCTTAGTTAGATAAAAGGCCTGACATGGTCAGGTAGTTAGGGCGCTCGACTCGCAATCTGAGGGTCGCGGATTCGAATCCCCGTCCCACGAAACATGCTCGCCCTTTTAGTTGTAGGGACGTTATAACATGACAGTCAATCTCACTATTCCTTGGTAAAAGAGTAGCCCAAAAGTTGGCGATGTGGTTGGGATGACTAATTCCCTTCCCTCTAGTCTCTCACTGTTAAATTAGGGACAGCTAGTGCATATACCCCTCGTGTAGCTTTGCGCGAAATTCAAACCAAACCTGGTCAGATAAAGAACCAATAGACAGTGAACTCAATAATTCAAATTTAAATATTTTCCTCGTTTTGACCTGTTCTAAAAAGAGACAGAGACACCACCACAAAGAAGGACACTTACTGGATGCCATAAAAAATAAAATTAGATATGAGAGAGAGGAACACCAATAGCCAGGAACTGAAGTCAATGGAAAAACTGGATTACTCCATATTAACTTAAGAGTCCGTAGCTAATTTAATAAATAATACAGATGAGTTAAAGGAATATATATTACTTTATGCAGGTTTCAAAACTTTGTACAATACAAACATTTATTCTGCCAGTTTGTACATTGAGTTAAGAAGTCGTTTATGTGTTAACTTTAATAAAATGGGATCATATTTTGTCGCCCCTCTGGTGGCTCAACGGTAAACTTGAGGACTTATAGCGTTAACATATGCGGTTCGATCCCTGTAGTGAGCACAGCACTGATAGCCCATTGTACAACATTGCACTTCTTTCATTGTCCTCCTTTAGAGCACTGTCAATGAAATTTATAATTATGTACTTCAATGAAGAAAGGTTGTTGCGCTTCAATCTTCCCAAAGTTTACCAGTTTCAAATAAAATATTAAAACATGCGCCATTTCTAAAATAAAGTCCAACTTTTTTTAACATTGCTTTACAAGTTACTGTGTATTTACCTACTATTAAATGTCTTATCGATTTTTTTATTGTTTATCTTAAAATAAACTTGGCACAGGGAGAGTTGCAATGAAATAGTTGATTGTAAATATTGTGTTTTCTTTTCTATTGTAGTATATAGACATGGATGTTCTCGCATTTTAATATAAATTGCTCAAACTTTAACCCAAATTATTTCATTTAATATGTATCAACATAATAACATTATTATCCTGAGTTTATGTTTGTTTGAAGTCTAGGTTATATGGCATGAAGGTGTTATTAAACGAAGATAGACGACATACGTGCTCGCCTTTCCAGATATGAAGACGTTATAATGTGATTGTCAATCCTACTATATATTTTTATTAAAGAGTAGCCCAAGTATTGGCACTGGGTGTTTCAATCAGTTGCCTTCCCTCAGGTCGGCAGTTCAAAACTAGGGACAGCATCAGATAGGCTTAGTAGCTTTACCATAAACAAATGCACAAATAAACCTTTCTGATATGATAATAGTTATTATTTTATGTTCGTGAATGTCTTGTCTCTTCAATCAACTTCAATATTTATCCTCCGTATAGTTTTATGCATAAATGAAACTACGTATATAACATTGCCCTGCTTGCAGAAACCTAATTAATTATCCTCCAGATAAAATGTGGACGTTCATCTATAACCGAATTTTGATTAAAGGCTTTTTATGTTAACAAAAAAGTTCATATATGATATATTTGTATTAAAGGTTTCATTGCTGTTGTTTACCATGATCTGGTTTTAGCTGTTTGTACTTATTTCCATAATATGTATAAAAATAGGCATTTCTATTACATTTTATATCGTGTTATATGTTATTTTTCAAAGGTTTTGTGATTTAAATTTTTTTCTTGTATAAGATTTTAAATGATTTTTTTTTTTAATTTTGCATTAATTTAAATTTCTTTACTTAGTAGAATGCCCCCAGTGGCACAGAAGTATGTCTGCGGACTTACAACGCTCGATACCGGGTTTCGATACTCGTGGTGGGCAGAGCACAGATAGCCCATTGTGTAGCTTTGTGCTTAATTCCAAACAAACAATGTTAGTAGAATGCCCCCAGTGAAGGCTTATAACCCTGAAAGCCAGGTTTTGATACTCGTGGTTGCTCTGTACTTAACAACAAACAAAGCAGATCTTAGTAAAATATTTATATGTGCATTAAATATTGTGTTTTTTATATTTATTAGTATTCATAACAGGTTCTCTATGAATGTTGTCTATTTATGAATGTTAAAGGGTCCATTTTTATAACTCAGGTTTCAAATTAAAATTTTATGACAGTGATAAATGATATTTTGTTATTTAATCGACTTCAGCGTTTATTCTGGTACTTTTGTAATGCATTTTTGCAATCAAAGCATCAATGACGTTAAAATATATTTTACTATATATTAAATTATCTTTGTTAAAGGGTGTTTTTGCTATGTGAAATTAGGACTTGTATCATTTTTAAAGGTTTGTGTTGCCCGTCATATTGTCGTGTAGTGATGTGTAAGTATTTTACAGGGTCGACAGAAAATTACACGGTTCCCTGCTCAATGGGTGAGTTTATTTAATTGGATTTTAAAAAAATAATTATAAAGAGCCTGAAGGGAAATGGGAAAGGAAATAGGTATCATGTAAGCACAATAAGTATTATCTACCCCTTTATTTAACTCTGAAAATTCATCTAAAAAAAATTCTAAATTTTCATGCATACAAGTGTATGTATATTTAAAATAGAACATTGGTCAAGGAAGTCGCTACAATTCTTTTGCTCTAGTTATCTAATAATCCGGGTTATTCTTTTATGCTATCACATGCACTTTCTCATGGGAAATATCGCTGTAATATTGAACAAACTATGTATAGCCCCCCCCCCCGTGGCACAGTGGTATGTTTGCGGGCTTATACCAATAAAAACTGGGTTTTGATACCCGTGGTGGGCAGAGCACAGAAAGCCCTTTGTGGAGCTTTACGCTTAGTAACAAACAACAACAGTAATAATATGTACAGGTGGACAGCAATATTGGTGCATCAGGTGATATTTCGAAGATACGACCTTCTCTATTTTTCAACTGAAATTACCAACAATGATGTAGGTAGCGTACATATCCTGAACAAAACAGTCTTAGGGTTGAACTTAAGGCGCTATGCCAAGATGTGATTTTTTTTTTCTTCTAGGACGTTTTAACTTTAACGTTGGAACTTGGATAGAGCAGTAAGGTCACTGCAAAAAGAGGGTTTTGTGATATTTTTAGAGAGTTAATATCATTGAAAAGTTTGTCTTGGTGAATTTTCAAAGTTATAAAAGATGCACCGTAGACAGTTGTATTTTATTTTTAAAGGAATCGATAAAAAAAAACTAAGATAATTTCGAGTTACACTTAGTTACTTCCGGTTTTGGACCTAACCAGATACTTTGTGAAACAACGTGATAATTTGCGGTATCAACCGAACGACACTTTCATTTATAGCCTAAGGCTAAAGCAATCTCTGAAGCCTAGAGGACGAACCGGTAAATTAAAACTGGGGAACTAGTATTAGTTGTAACCTTTTTTTTTTTTTTTCAGAGAAAGAGTTTGACCCAGGCCCAATGTTTTTTTACTTTTTTAACGAAGTATCTGTGTTAATGACTTTTCTTTTCAAAAAGAAAAATTATATTGTTATACCAGACCTTATTTGCTTTATTCAAATTATTGATAATATTATTATTATTAAGAAGTATTTCAGAACAAACAATACTTGTTCACACCAAATTATAAGGTGAACTTTCAGCTTGTGTGGAAACAAAAACAAAAAATTGTGAAAATTATTTAGCAGATTTCGTTGTCATCATACAGAAATCCAGTCTGATATGATTAAAAAGTAACGTATATGATCTTAAGTAGACATTAATGAAATTGGTAATTTTTAAATTAGCCTAATAATATTTTTATGCATTTCCAATGTGAATCTTGAATAAAGACATAAGTATATTAGGTAGTTAGAGGAATAAGAACTTACTAATGGATAAGTTAAATAATAAATTCCATAATCTACTTTAATATCTAATAACATTTTACAGCCATATTTTAGTAAAAAATTGTGTATTTTTTGTCAGCACTAATGATAAACATCTGTATCAACTAAAAATAAAACCAATATCTAATACTACCAGTAAAACTTTGACAATGCATTCTGTTGAACGAAAGCTTCTAAATAATTCCCATGTTCAGTATAGTCATGCATTAAATTTCTGATGTTTTGAGACTGGTTAGGGAGGAGACATTTTGTCTTTAAATAAGGCTTAATAAAAGTTTTTAGTGCTGGTTAACTGTACATTTTAATTTTGGTTGATACAAAATGTCATAGTTTATGTGGTGGTTTAAAGTGTATTAAAAGTAGAGGTGATAAAACACCAAAATTTAATTCCATATAGTTAGCAAGTTGTGAGTAAACTGCCAAATTAGTACTATGTCTGTGATGAAAAAGATTCATAAGTTTGTTCACCATCTTGGTACCTTATATTTATTATAAGATTTATACTTAGGACACCCTTCTCAATTTCTTGTAAAGTGTTGACCTCTATTACTACTGATGGCAACTCTTTCCATAAATCAGTCACCCTGTTAGAAAAATAGAACTGTCCTAACTGGAGCCTAGCCTTTATTTTCCAAATCTTGTTGTTTTTATAAATCGAGGGTATTTATCCCATAATTCCAATGGATTATCATGTAAACTTCAATAAAAACCACCATTTACCTGTCATAAAGTTTAAATAGAAATTAATTTTAGTTTGTTTTTGTTCTTGTAAGAAAATCATTTTGTTCTTTCATTAAAGTGGGAGGGAATAATGTGCTGAGTAATTTTTAAAGGACATGAAAAGCACAGCATGTTTATCACTTAATAAATATGGTAATACATATATTTATTAAATCTGGACTCAACTTTAACTACATGTAACACAAATGTTTGTGTTATACGCAGTTAACATTGACTCGTGATTTAATAAATATGATAATATATTTGTGTTACATGTAGTTAAAGTTGAGTCCAGATTTTATAAACATACTAATATGTTTGAGTTATATGCAGTTAAAATCGAGTCAAGATTAAGAAGTTTAAGAGTTTTAAAAATAGTCATTAAGATTCAATTGGCTAGATTGTACAAAGTTGAAAGTTTTTATGTTTCTACTCAGGTGCTAAATGTGGTTCCTTTAATGTCAGATTTTTGTTAAATGATTTACAGATATAACAAGCTGGCTAACTCAGTCATAGCATTCGTGTTTTTTTTTACAGTTATTGTTGGAAGACAATCTACAGCCCTCAACATGCCAGAAATAACTACAATACAGGTGATCTTTAAAAATAAATTGTAGCTTTTAATATAACACTTGACTATTGCATTGTGACTTGATTTTACCACAACTATCTTGCTTACTGATAAAAGCATCTTCTGTTGATGTACATAGTTCTGACAATATAAAAGTACTTTAATTGTTTGTTATGTTTACATGTTTGATAAACATGTTTGAAACCAGATGAAGAGTAGTAGTAATAAGTTCCAGAAGATTTACAGTGTATCTCTCATCTACAGATT